ACCCTCTTCTCCGATCCCCCAGCCTGGGGCCGGCTTCTGCTGGGCCCTAATTAAGGGCCATCCTGCTCCCCACTGGGCTTCCCATGTGAGGCTAGCGGTAGAGAACCCACCCGCCAATGCAGGAGAAAAGAGAGATGCAGGTTTGATCCCTGGGGTGGGGAGATACCCTGGAGAAGGGAATGGCAACCCACTCCAGTCTTCTTAGCCTGGAGAATCCCATGGACAGAGGAGCCTGCTGAGTTGCACCGGTCCAGAGGGTTGCAAAGAGTTAGACAAGACTGAGCGACTTAGTACACATGCACACTCTCCTCCCAGTGCAGGTCAAGCAGACCCTTTTGATCAAATCAACCCCTCGGGCATCACATCTCACCACCTGTGTGACCTCGGCAAGCCCCTCCCCCTTCACTAGAGCCAATGCCAAGTCAGGGTGGCGGTGACTGGCAGCTGCCCGCAGCCCCAGCCAGGCTGCGGCACCCATCTCATGCCTGATGGCAGCGGGTGGTAACCAGGGTGGCTCCTGAGTTCCCCCCTTTCCTAGAAGGCTCGCTTACCAGCAGTCAAGACCCCACCACCCACCCACCAGAACAGGCCTTAGGAAGGAAGGGCTGCCAGACGTTTGCCCACACGGCCTGGGGCCTCAGCCCGGGGTCTGACCTAAAAAGGCTGGGCCAGGTCACTGGATGCTGGGTGGGCCTCATCTCCGGCTGGCTCAGCCTGAGCCCACACCTGAGCCAGGTGAGGCAGGGGTCCCGGGGGTGCTGGGGGCTCAGATATGGGCCCCAGGTTGGGAGCTGGGAGGGCCTCTGAGCACCACCCCAGGAGCCCACACCCACGGGCAGGCCCTCCCCACACTAGGCCTCAGGCTCCAGGGAGGCAGGGGCCAAGGTAGGGGCTCTGGGGACATGGCAGAGACACACCCACACTGGGATCTGGCAGGGAAAGGTTTATTAAGCTTCAACCACAGAGTAACAGAGCGCAACAGATGCGGGGGAGCCTGGTCTCCACCGGGAGGTGAGCATGTTACAGACAGGACCTTGTGCGCGGGGAGGGGCGGACAGCGCCATGCAGTCACAGCCCCCGGAGCAGCCAGGAGAGCGGGGGCTCGGCGCTGAGGCACACACACCAGGTTGCGTGTGCCCACCTGATACAAAATTCAGTAATGTGCGATATTACTCTTTATAATCCCTTTTCCTCATAAAACGTTATGTGTTTAACACACACTTATATCACTGCTAAAATCAGCAAGAGCTATTATAGTGCTCCAACTTAATAAGTTGATAAAAAAATGTTGTCCTGTGGCCAGTTCACAATGGAACTAAATAAGTCCTGTTCCGAGACGCCTGGGGAGTTCCTCTGGTAACAAGAGGCATTTCCAATAATCGGGTCATTCCGCCACCGAGACACAGTCCTGGTCCACAGCACATGGAGCCTTGCCCCTGGCCCCCCAGGGACAGGCTGGGCGAGGGGCCAGGATGGCGGGGGCCGGCTCCCCAGGAGGAGGTAGTGATGGAGGCCCCGATGTGCTACATGCTGAGGGCCACACTTAGTGGACACCATGCCCTGGGCAGCTGCGTTCAGGAAGTGGCCCTGGGCAGCCCCGGCAGGCCGGCCTGAGCCCCCAGGCCCAGAAGCAGGCAGAAGACGGATGGAGAGTCAGAAGCAGCTGCTTGCAGATGTAGCGTGAACAGTTGCGCGGCTGTCACGGGTAGCAACATTCCTGGGAGGGTCCTCGCCTGTGCTCGGGGTTGGTGTGGCCAAAGGTAGACGGAGGCTCAGGTGTGAGCCCAATAGCTCGAAGGTACTCTAAGTCCAGTCAATGTGGTGTTTGACAAACTCACTCCGAGTGGCTGTCTCTGGCGCTGGCGGCTCACACCCTTGGCCACAGGAGGGAACGGCTGGGACCTGGAGTGTTCTTCAGACACATCACACAGACAGTCCCTTCAGAGGCTTGACTTTGGGGTTCTGGGGGGCAGAGAGCTACTTCTCCACACACTCTCACGCCTTTAAGAAACACACCTGAGGACTATTTGGAGCCAATGACCTTCTTGGCCCAGCCATTGCCTACCCCCCACAAGGGGCAGTGGGGAGCGGCACCCTACTGCCAGCCCTCCACCCCCCCAGAAACATCGCCAACGTTGACTGTCAGCAGAATGGGGACAGGGTGCTCCCTGTCTTCACTGACTTTTTAGGGAACCAAAGACGCGGATCAGATCCACGCCACCCTATCTGGGTAGCCCATTGATATGACCTGGCAACCAGCCAAATCCCTACCAAGCCCTCTGCTCACAGCACCCAGCCCTGACCGGTACCCACGACGCCCAGGGCCCACGAGGCCAACTCCAGGCTCAACTCTGGCATCGGCTACCTAGCCAGCCTACCCTGTGGGTGGCACAAACCACTGGTCACCTTGGCTGGAGCACCAGAGGACCTTTCAAATGAGGGGGCCACAGCCGCGCTCCTTGGAGCGGTCTGCCGGCGGCCCCCACAGCTATCTGAGGTACAGCATTAGGAACCAACCACAGCCCCCAGCCATGGCCGGCCACCACCGCGAGGACAGCCCGCTCTGCTTTTCTTAAGACACAAGGTGATGCCAGAGCCTCGGGTCAGTGCAACCTGGGAATAACCTCACTGCGGGGATGGGGCTGAGGCGAAAGCACTCAGTCCACAATACCCCCACGCAAAGCTCACCCCCAGTCGAGGGCTGGAGGCTGGCTCCATGACCGCTCTCTCCTGACCTGGGCCGTGAGGCACCTGCCCTCCCAGACCCACACAGTAAGACACACTCTGGTCACACACAGGCAGAAGGCTTGGCGGCCTGCAGGACTCGAGACGGCCGCACACGTACTCACTTCTGCGCCAGCCGCCGACAGAGGCCTTTCTCCAGCGGGCCTCCGCCCCGAGCACGTTCCAGGGTTGTTCTTGTCCTTCCGTGTCTTTGCTGTTTTAGATCAGGTTTAAGGCTGGCATCCCCAGGGTGGTGGTCCTGCCACAAGCCCTGCTTGCTCCTACACATCAAGCCCCGGCCAGCTGTGGACAGGGTGGGCCCGGGAGGCGTGGCCCTTCCGGCTGGTTCATCTCAGAGCTTGACTTGGGCTTTCCCCCACACCCTTACATTCTCAGCTCACTGCCCCCCCGTTTTCTAGCTATCAGGAGACCCCCTCGAGGAGCAGAGCAGCTAAACAGAGGCTGCGATCTATAGTGTCACAGGAGGAGGACTTTCCATCCTAAAGCCACGAAGGCCATCGACCTGCCAGGTACCTGCCGGGGGGGTGAGGGGAGGCGCGCTTGGGAGTGGGAAGGACTTGCCCGTCTGGACACAGGATCCCCAAGGCCCTTCTCCAGCCGTCATGCACGTCGAAAAGGCTCCTGTTTCCCAGTCGGCTCTCCGTGACCCTGGGCTTCTGGGGGCAGACACGTGGCTTGTGGATGCATCCAAAACGGACAGGCACCGCTGCTCCTCAGGGACAAATGGCAGCTGCAAAGTGCCGCCAGCGACGGAGATGGGACAGGACCAGAGGCCGGTCAAGTACACGAAGCACGGCTGTTCCTCTCAACACACAGGAAATTCAAGTAGTTTATTTAAAAACTGTGTAGCTTCATCTTGAAATATATCTATATATATATATATATATATTTGCTTTAGAATGATCATATTGCAGCATGACTCTCATGCGTTTTAAAGTACTTTATTTAAAAACACATCGACTTGAGGCAGCGAAGAGTTACAGTCCTCTCACTTTATCCGGGTGATGTGTGGGAGGCCTCCCTCTTTCTCCTGAGATCAGCGGACTTAGACTGACCGTCCCAAAGAAGAAAAGCAGAAACTGCTTACTTAGAAAGAGATTGTGGTTTGAAAAGCATTTCCAAACAGCTGCAGCATGTGACGACTGTGCTTCCCTGGGGTGCAAGTTTGGTTCTGCGCTGAAACTAGAAATGCCACGCTGAGCTGACCTGTGGGGCGGACCGTGCCCCTGTCCGAGACCCGCGTTCTTCATAGCGGGGCGGCCCTGACTCCGGCAGCCGGCGGGGGTGAGCAGGCGCGGAGGTCAGGTGGGCGCCGAGTGTCTGGCGTGTGGGCCTGGCGGTGGGTGTGGGTGGCAGTTCCACGCCGGGAGCTCTGCATCACGGTCCCCCGACAGAGGGCTCAAAGACAAAGTGCAACACAAGAGTCACAGCATCTCCCGGAGCTTCGGACAAGACGATGGGCGGGGTGGGCACAGATGCGGGCGCGCACGGGGACGGCGCTGCCAGCTCCAGGGCTGCCCCCGGCGGGCAGTCCAGCCCGGCCAGGCGGGTCTCCCCACCAGCGTCCCGGGGGCCCAGCCTCCTCCCAGCTTTGGTGTCCCCGCTACTGCTGCCCGCCGCCTGGGTACAACGTGTCAAACAGGAAAGCAGGAGATGTGTTCTTCAAGAAAACCACAGTTTTGGAAAATAAAGACAAAAATTTTTTTTCTAAAATAATCATAGAGAAAAGTACTCTCCAATAGCTGCAGCACCAACAAAATGTGACGCGATCTGACAGAACGTCCAAATACCTGTAGGCATCCACAGGGAAAAAATGTGATAGAAAGTGTTTTAGTCACTGACTACACGACCATTATCTGAAGACTTCAGATAAGATATAGCAAAATACATCAGATGCTTTTTTGCTTTCAATTATAACTTTAGAAATGCAAAAATCTTTTTTTTTCTAAATTGCTTCTCTATAAGGTAAATCTGCTTTATAATTTTAAAACATGCAGAATAATATACCTGCAGAACAAAAAGACAGTTGAAATTAAAAGATCTTTTTTTGATTAAAAAAATGATTCTTTTTAATTGTGGAAAAAGTAATTAATAAGGTGTTTTTGCTTATTGGCGCAAACCTACCCTACAGCTACTGAGCCTCCACCAGGGTCGGTGAAGGGTTTTGGTGCACACGGCCGCCAAGGCCATGGCAGCTGGGCTGCTGGGCGCCACCCCCGCCTCCCTGCCTCCCCGGAATGTGTGTGCGGTGCGGCTCAGACCATCGACTCGGTCTCCACGAGCCCCTGCCGGCCCTCCTTCCGGGACAGCTTCAGCACCGTGGGCTTCTCGGCGCTGCCGCTCGCGCCTTCGCCCAGTGGCTGGGAGGACAGGCCCTTCTGCTCCTCCTTGGCCTCTTCGGACACCTCTGGATAGATGACCAGGAAGGCGGCCGTCAGGAAGCCCAGGAAAGAGCCCACGGAGGCCACCATGGGGATGACACGCACGGTCCCCACCGCGTCGACCACGCTGCCCAGGGCGGAGGCCACCAGAATCTGGGAGATGTAGACCTGGCAGGAGAGGATGGCGCAGTCGATGCCGAAGCCACGCCTGGACGCCCCGGGGCTGTGATGCACATACTGCAAGAAAGGCGGGCACGGCGTGAGGGCAGGGCCAAGCCGCGCTGGCATCCCCAGGGTCTGGGCAGACCTGCCTTCCCTCAGCGGCTGCACACCTGCTCGCCTGGCTCTCCCCCCACCCCCTATTTATACTGAACACGGTACTGGGGGTTCCAGCCACTGCAGGAAGACAAGGAAAATAAATAAAACCCTTAAGAATTAGAAAGGAAGAGATGAAACTCATTACCCATGGAGGATGTGACTGTGTGTGCAGAAAGCCTGGGAGAATCTATAAATATGCTATGACAATTAATACAATATACCATATTTAGGGAATATTATAAAGGCTCAATACTACAAAGTTTTAACTCTCTCCAAATTGATGCATATAATCAATGTGTTTCCAATTAAAAAAAAAAAGTCCAGAAGCTGATTCTAACATTTAAATAAAAAGGAAATGGTCAAGAGTAACCAAGTAACAATGTTGAAGAAGCAAGTTGGAGAACTTAACACTACCAGGTTTCATTCAGGTCTTCTTGTAAAACTACTGAAGACACTGTAGCCACTGTGAGCAGACAGCCAGCCATGGAAGAGAAGAGAGATTTCCCCCAGCGGTGACCATGGCTCAGCAGTGTGTGTGTGTGGGGGGAGGGGCACCGGGTCACGTGACCATCCTTACTTGGGGTGCTGTAAAGTTCTGATTGACCTTAGACCACACACACACACTCTATCCCAGGCAGACCACAGGCCGAGGGCGTGAGTGCAAGGGAAGACATGGGCGAGAATGCTCATATGGGAAGTGCCAGCGAGAACCCCAGAGCTGCCACAGCAGGTCGCCCGCCCCGCACCTCTCGGAGGTCGTGGTACTGCCCGAGCAGGGCGTAGGGGCAGTAGGAGATGCTCATGGAGACGATGCCCATGGTGCTGATCATGATCATGGCCACGTAGACGTTGGCGAACATGGCCATCACGGCTGTGCCGATGGAGAAGCCCAGTGTGCCCAGCACGTAGATGACCCTGATGCTCAGGTCGTAGTTGTCCAGGTACTTCTGTAGCAGGGCTGCAGAGAGGGGCCGCACGGTGATCGGAAGGCACAGGCCTGCTCGCGCCCCTACCTCCGCTGCACTCAGCCTGGCTCAGGAACAGGGATGGGAGGCCCCTGTCTTTCACCCCCCAGACACCACGCACAGCCCCTGGATGGACCCCCAGCTCACCGTGCCCCAGTCCACTGCCAGGGGCTCCACACCTTAAAAGGAGGTCGCCCCTCGTGGTTCCAGACCTGTAGCCCAGTTCTGTCCTGCAGCCCCGGGGGGACTCCCTCCCTTGCAGTGCCAGGCCTTCTGATCCTTCCACCAGTCCAGGCTCACTCTGGCCTTGGGCCCTGCCCTGCCTCGGGGACTGAGTTGTGGCTGGTTTTCCTCACGAGGCCCTACCCTCTGGGTCAGGCTTTCTGACCCAGCCTTCCTGAGGAGTCCTTTAGTAGAGCAGACAGCACTGTGACCGTCAGGCTGGCTGTCCGCTGCCAGTGGCCGTTATCCTGTCATCCTCAGGTAGAGACTGGGCAGGGGCCGGGCCAGGATCAGCCGGAGGCCCCTAACTGCGGCTCTGCCCCATTCCCGGAAGGCGTGCCTGCACGCCGCTGCTGAGCCTGAAGCCTGTCACTCCCACCCTCTGTCCTCCAGGACACAGTGGACCCCAAGGAAGGCCACTTATCTCCTCCAGCCACCCCGACCTCCGGCAGACCCCAGACACACTGCGTGCACTGAGGCAGGACCCGGGACGCCCGCCCTCCCGGCTCAGAGCACAGCTCCTGCAGCGCTGCCATCGCCCTGAGCCCTGGCAGGCCCTCCCCGGGAGCCAGCAGGCGTCTGCACGGAGAACAGCTGAGAGGTCACAGCACTGCCGTCCCAGCAGCAGCGCTGCTGGCTCCGCCTCAAGACGGCAATGAACGGTGACACGGCTGCTGTCCCTGAGGGCCGGCCCTGCTGGGGCTGGGCCTGTGGCCCATGGAGCAGGACGCCTGTCAGTCTTTCTGGTCACGGAGTGCGCCCAGGTGCTCGGCTCACTGGCTGGGGGCCGCTTACCTGAGCAGGTGGCACCAGTGGCCGCGTAGATGACCAGGCCCCAGCAGCCCATTTTCACGCCCGCGCTGTAGGCCTGCCACTCCGTCGAGTTGGACAAAGCCTGTTCCAGACACAAGATGAGGGTTCAGGGGGTGGGGCTGGCATGCTGTGCCTCCAGGGGAAGGGGTTGCTTACGCCAAAATCACTGACACGTCTCAACTGCGGCAGCATCGGGAGGAGCAGTAGCCTCAGCCTGGCAGCCCATGTGGGGCGGGGAGGCCTCAGCGTGGTGGGCCGTGTGGGGCGGGAAGGCCTGAGCCGTGACCACCTTGGACTTCCTGGTGCCTCTCTGGGTCACACGAGCAGAGCTGTGAGCCTGCAGATGCCCTGGGGCCTAGAAGCCACGCCCACGTGGCCTGGACACCGGCAACAACAGAAAACTGCTTCAGCCTGCAGGTTCTGGGGCCATCTGTGTGTGGTGGGAGCTGGCCTGCCTGCCTCCAGCTCCCTGGCATTCCCACACTTCCAAAGTCGGGGCGGGGGGTGCTCAGCACGGACCCAGGCCTGGATGCCCTCGCACTCATACACCGGGACCCCTGACCACGATCTCAACAGGGGTGCACCCGGGCCGGCTGTCACCGCTCCCTCCCATGAGGCAGGGGGTCCCGGGTGCTCACCTTGGGGTCCCCCTCGAAGATGACCTGGCCCATGAAGTCGGTGTAGAACACGGCCTCGGCGATGACAGAGAACCAGGTGAGCAGGTGGCAGAGGCAGAGGCGCACTAGCTCGGGGGGCATCTTCAGCATGGACAGCCAGAGCAGCCGCACGGTGGTCTCGCCCTCGCCCTCCTCGCTTTCCGAGTCCCCACTGGACGTGGTGGCCCCGCTCTGGTGGCGGTGGCGGTGCTGCCGCGGCCGCGCCTGCAGGTCGTACAGGTCGCTCATGCTGCGCGAGGGCTTGATGAGCACCACGGCGTTGGCGCGCCGGTGGCGGTAGCGGTGGGAGCCGATCTTGCCGTAGTAGGAGAAGGTGCTGGAGGCCTGCCGGCGGAACACGTGCCGGCGCCGGCGGGCAGGGCCCACCGTGGCGGGGGCCTTCAGGGCTGCCCGGCTGTAGCTCCCTGGGCCGTCCCACAGCCCCGCGCCGCCCCCGTTTGGGAGCCTGGCCATGCTCAGGGGGTCCTCCAGCAGGGTCTCATCCTCGCCAGCGGGTGCGCGGAGTGGCGGGGGCTGGCGGGGCGGCTGGTTGGGGGCGCGCTCCTGGCTGGTGCTGCAGGGGGTGCCGGGGCGGGAGGCGTCATGGAAGATGGAGGGCTCGATGTCCTGCAGGAAGAGCTTGGGCTCCAGGCCCAGTGTGGCCTCACGCACGTGCAGCACCGAGTCGCTCTTGCTTCGCACCAGGCCCTCCTCCAGGAAGTCCAGGGCCAGCTCGTGCTCCGACTGCACCTCGTCTGGGAACAGGGCGCCGCCGTCCAGCACGCAGGCGCGGGGGCCGGGGGCCGGCGTGCTGGTTGGGTCCCCGATGCGCTCCTGCTGGGGACTGTACTGCTCTTCCTCGATGCTGGACAGGTGCAGGGCCACGGACACCGTGAAGATGATGGCCGCGAAGAAGAACAGCACCTGGTTCTGTGTCCGGAACCAGGAGCCCAGGAAGGTCTGGGTCCAGTCCAGCCCGCCCAGCACGTAGCCGACGGCTCCGCCGAGGCCTGGGGACAGGAGGGAACAGCGCAAATGTGAGCAGAGGAGGGGTATGGGCTGCGGGGCGGGGAGCCCAGACAGGTGTTCACCACTCCCCCCTGAGGGGGGCTCCAGGGTCACTCAGAGAGAGAAAACGGGAGGAGCAGGGACGCGGTGACAGCTGAGCCCAGGTCTGGAATCCTGACCCGACAGCTTCCTGCTTCCTGAGTTAGGAGGGAAACGGGCGGCCGCTCCGGGACTCTCTCCCCACTGGCCGCCATTCCCAAAGCTCAGGAGCCCACGTTCCCATCCGATGGGAATGCTGCCGGAATTGGAGGAGGAGGCCAGCACGCTAGCACACCCCCACCTCAGACCAGCCACTTGGCCCTGCTGGGTCCCTGCTCGCTGCCTCACCCACCGGGATCCACGTGAAGCCGCCTCCCCCAGACCCGAGGCTCTCAGACAAGTGGGTAAGGCGGGGGGTGGGGCTCAGAGCCGGGCAGGACCGCTCACCAGCAGAGAAGGCGTGGATGTTGAGGGCCATGTCCTGCTCCTCACTGTCCACCACGTCCAGCAGGTATGCACGGATGGGCCCCTCCGTGGCGTCAGCGCTGAAATCCAGGACCACCACCCCCAGCACGGTGAGCACGATGCCGATGGGCTGCCGGGTCGGGACATCGCCGAGGGCCAGGCCTGCCGGGGCACCAGGAACAGCAGCTCAGCGCCCACTGCGGCCGTCTCGGGGGGCTCTGTGCTCCTGGGCACAGCCTCTCCACACAGGAGGTGGGCTTCGTTTTTCCCGCTGCTCTGAAGCGGGTTATAAGCCGTAATCACACACCTGCCTCGGGTGAGTCTGCCCCTGAACCCGGAGACCAGCCTGCTGCCTGAAGGCTGAGCTGCTGCTGGCTGTGCTGGACAAGGCACAGAGGTGCTGGGGAGCCTGGGGCACCCCCCAACTCTGCAGATGGGGGGTCCCAGACAGCCCCGCCCCACAAGGGCCAGGACAGGGGCTTCTGGCCAGGAGAGACATGGCTCCAGGCCGGGGGCGCCAAGTACTGCGTGTGGGCCACAGTGGGCTGGGGCTACCCCACAGACGGGCCCCTGCAGAGGCCGGCGTTCCCTCTGAACTGAGCCTGCAGGTGCCTGGAGAGGGCAGCTCCCTGTGGACTCCTGACAGCCAGCTTTGGGGGGGCGTGGTGCACAGCTCAGGGAGGCCCCTCTTGCACCCCCTCCAAGTCTGGGACTGTGCCCCCCCTGCCAGCCCGCGTGGGCCCTGGAGGAGCTGAGCGAGGCTCTGTGGCACACGGAACTCTTCGGCTGTCTCCCTTCCTGAGCCTCCCAGCGTCCGTGACCGCCTGAGGACCGACGTGGACACGGGCAAGTTCACCTGCGTCAGGACACAGGTTAAACTTTTGTCTTAGAAAGCTGTCGCCAGAAAACAAGACTTTTACTTATTCACATTTCTGACGGGTGCTCTCAAAACAAAAGGTATTTTCCCACAAATAGCTGCTTTAACTGAAAACAAAACAACAACAGAAAGAAGCAAAACAAACCCCCGAATATGTGAACCAAAAAAACAAGCAGCAAACTAGGTCTGGACATTTTCAATACCAAGTCTGAGAAAAGGAGAAAAAAAAAAAAGATAATTTCTGAAATAATGCTGGAAACAGGACGTGGTGTCAGATACGCATTAAAAACAAATGGGTCACAACAGGAAGCGCTCCCTGAGAACAGGTTCCCATGGTGTTCCCACATGGGGCCCACGGCCCGGCCACCGCCCAGGGGCCAAGGACGCCTGCCAGCGGCCCCGGCCAGGACTGGCGGTCTGGGCTCCTCACACCTGCATGCCCGGTGCAGCCCGGCTCCATGCCCCCGCACCCAGGGCAGGACACTCACCGATGGCAGAGCCGTTGAGGAACAGCGCCACTCCGAAGAGCACGCCCACACAGAGCGCCAGGATGAAAGGCCGCCGGCGGCCCCAGCTCAGGGTGCAGCGGTCGCTCGCGGAGCCGATGAGGGGAGTGAAGATGAGGCCGAGGATGGGGCTCAGGAACCAGGTGAGGCTGTAGTACTGCTCCGGGAGGCCTACAACACACACCACCATCACCCTTGGGCAGGCGGGTGGCTGGCAGTATGCGCCACGCGCACACACCCACCGGCTGGAGACCCCTCAGGCAGGCACCCCTCTGCAAGGCCAGGAGTCTGAAACCAACCAAAGCCCACCTGGGAAGCATCAAGTGGCCCAAGGCCAGACCTGGGCCGTGGAGCTGGGCCCCTAGGGTGCACTGGGCCTTCGGAGCAGCACCCAGACCCAGCGGGCCCAGGTCGCCGTGCACGTGTGGAGAACGCAGTGTCAGCCCCACGCAGCAGGCCCTGGGCGGGAGGGGCGGCGGAGCAGGGCCTTGGAGCAGCACCCAGACCCAGTGGGCCTGGGCCGCCATGCACGCGTGGAGAACGCAGCGTCAGCCCCACGCAGCAGGCCCCGGGCCAGGGGGCGGGGGGTGCAGGGCCTTGGAGCAGCATCCAGACCCAGCGGACCCGGGCCGCCGTGCACGCGTGGAGGACACGGTGTCAGCCCCATGCACCTGGCACCTGTGGGCGCAGTGGCGTGAGGGTGAGGCCCTCTCGCTCCACTGGCGCTGACTGGGGCCTGGGGTCTTGGGGGCTCTGCTCAATGCCACCCTCAGGGACCAGGCCCCCATCAGCCCAGAACACGGCGTACAGCAGGGGGCTGCAGCTTTAGAGACTAGAAGACCCGTGATCCTGGGACCCTGGGCCTCACTGGCCAAAATCTATCACCAGGGCCCTTCAGACAGACCCTGCACCACTGATGTGCTAAACAGCCCCAGCAGTGGGCTTCCAAGTGGCTATTGAGGGCAATGAGAGGGGACGCCTCCATGCATGTCCAGCTGGAGCCAGGGTGTCGGTTCTGGTGCCTAACCTTCCCACCTGCCCAGAGGTAGGGATGACCATATCCGTTTCACAGACGGGCAGTCTGAAGCTCCAAGGTCAGGTGATCTGCCCCGTGTGGACAGAGAACAAAAGCAGGAGCCCCAGCATTTAAACCCAGGGCTGCCTGGTTCCCACGTGTAAGCATGGACCCTCCCTGGCCCCACCCTCCACTCTGTCGCTGGGTTATACAACCCTGAGGCCCGCCATCCCTGGGACAGAGATGGGTCTGGCCCGCTCACACCCAGGATGCACCCGGCCGTATCCCGCACACTCTGCAGGTTCCATTCATGCCACAGCCATAGCGGGGAAGCAGCCTCCGTGGCGGGGCCAGGTGGTGGTTGCCCTTCAGCGGGGGACGGACGGGGGCTTCAGGCTGGGGTGTTTTGACCTTGACCTGGACGGGGGTCCCTGGGGACAGCTCACCCGGCTGGGGGACGCGGGTCATGCACTTCTGTGTGTCAACTTCAGTGAAGAGCTGACTTAAAAAAAATACAAGGTGCTCTGGCACACCAGCGACTCAATCAGTGAATGTTTTACACCGCCAAGGGCGCTGAGGAACGGAATATTGTGCTGAACTACCAAGAAAAATAAACTGTGTAGGAGGAGGAAATCATTTTCAAAGGAGGAGGGAAGCACCTTTCAAAACCGTTGCTAGTGTGCCCGTTAAAATATTGACGTGTTCAGCCCAGAGTTCAAGGTGTTGGCCTCGACCTTTCCAGAACCTTAGGAAGGGTGAACTTCGCTCCTGCTTCTAAGTCGGTAGGATGAGCTGCTGGTTCAGGAGATGGGGAGCCTGCTGAGAGTGCTCCACTGACGCGCTGGGGTCTACGTGGCGGGCCTGGTTCCTTGACTCTCAGTGTCAGGGTCCGGCGCTGCCCACCCTCAAGACTGTGGTGTGGAGAGAGGGCTTCTCAGGAACGACTCCCTCCCTGAACCACTCCCAGGAGCCTGTGGTCGGCTTCAGAGACAAAGAGCATCCTTTACCCCGGGGGACACAGTGTCTCTTGCTGGGCTTTTTCAATGTCACAACCTTACTACTGAACAGTGACTAGCCTGGTAACGGGCTGCAGCACGCACACGCACACACACACACAGGCACGTGTGCACACGCCCGCCATCTCCCCTGGGGGCCTGGCCTTCCTGCTTCAGGCACCAGGAAGCGTTCTGGACTCCACACCTGCCGACTCTTACCTCCCTGCCTGGTTCCCGGCAGAACCCTGAGGGGAACATGCCCTGCGGCCCTGACAGGAACCGCCTGTCCACCTCTGCTCTAGACGCAGGGCGGTCGTGGTGTAGAGTCTGCCTTCCGGGTGTGCGTCAGTGCAGGAAGAGGGCGTCTCGCGGCTCTGACCCCAGGACACGGGCCCCTCACTCTGGAGCCGTCCCTCCCAGCTCGGGCGGTCCTCTGGTCCTCGGTTGAAGCTCCGCGCGCACCTGAAATCCTCTGTATCTGGGTCAGCGCTGCCCCAGCCGACTCAGGCTTCCCGTCCCCTCCTTTTCACCCTCAACCCCCGTGGATCACAGTATTTCCGCTCCGTCCACTCTCCCGAGTCTCCTCCTGCGGGTGTGCTCGGCCCCCGCTGCTGACAGCAGCTGTCGTGGGGCGACGCTGGGCCCGCCGCTCCACCGCCTGCTTCCGGCTGCGGCTCCGGCCGGCTCTGTCCCTCTCGCTCCTGCCTTCTCTTGGTGACGCGAGTCCTCCCCCATGTCCCATGGTGATCCGCACACTGACGTTTCAGCTTTACTTGGCAGTGGCTGCTCTAGAAGCTATTACACGTCACCTTCAGCATGAGTGGAGACTGCTCCCCTCTGGTGAGACCCCGGCACCTGTACGCGCCCGTCCACCCCAGGTCCGTCTATGCTGAAGCGGCACACACGTTACGTCTGCAGACACGATGAACCTGTGCAGGGAGCTCTGAACAGTCGCTCGTTCTAAAGGAACCAAGATGGAACTGTCTTTCTTCTTACCCCCCCATATACCCTTCTCTCCTTCCTCCTCGGCATCCTGGGGTCACAGGGTGTCACTTCCCTTTGGCCTGAAGAACTGCCTTCAGCTTCTTCAGCATTTCCCAGGGGCCTGCTGACGACAGCTGACCGCAGTTCTGCTCCTTTTGTTCCTCAGGGGTATTTCTGCCACGTGCAGGACTCTGGGTCAACACCTCTGTGGCGAGCCGTGCTCGGCATGAAGTCCGCGCAAGGTGGTCTCTGGGAGCAGGGCTCGCGGGGGCCCGTGCTCTCTCTGTGGACGCGTCCGTCCCCTCAGATGTGGGCCTGTGGGGCTTCAGAGACATGACCGGGGGAGCTCTGTCAACCCTTTCTGAAAGGGGTCACGCAACTGACAGCGAATCTCGGGAAGCTTGTCAAGCTGGGTGCTGCTCAGCAATTCACCCCAAACCCGCGTCCTGCTCGCCCAGGGGAACCACTGCCACGCGCATCGGCCGCCCAGAGCCCCGGCCCCGCAGGAGTGGCTGTGGGTGTGCACAGACTGCATGCCTGGCAGGTTCCCAGGGCCTGAGTGGGGCCTGCCGGCTCACGACCCAAGGGGCAGGGGGAGACCACCCGGAGTCAGCGCCCCCAGCCTCGCCACCGCTCGGCTCCGCCAGCACCACCTTGGGCCCGTCCCGCAGCTGCTGTGGCGGCTGGCCTGCATCTCCTCTGGCGAGGCTGTCACTGTCACCCCCCTCCCCACCTCCCGTCCCCCTCCACCCACGGCAGCCTGGATCCCCCTTTGGTTCCCCCAAAACTGTCCTCGCAGGTCACCAGGCTGCCTTCCTGCCAGTCCAGCCGGCCCGCATTCAGCAGGCTTGGCCGAAGCCCCATAAGGGCAGAGCGCGCTGGCACACGCACCAGCTCCCCTGGCTCAACGCTCCAGGGCCCTCCCCCCGCACCCCCATCTCCTCCCCACTCTGCACGGGACCCCCTGACCAATGCCAGGGAGGCCTCCGCGCAGAGGCGGCTGGGCCAGGAGCTGGTCAGGCTGCAGAGCCCGGGGGGCTGCCTGGACGTCAGTGGGGTCTGTCTAGGTGCTTTGTCCCCAGTTCTCCTGAAAGTCACAGCGGGGGTGTGAGACCCCCATCAGCTGAGTGGTCAGGCATTGGGGAGGGCCGGGGGCACCCAGCGCTGACCACAGCAGGGACATGTCTTCGTTTAAACACGGGGGCGACAAAGATGAACGCTTCCCATCACGTCCCCGGGGCAGTGACGAGCCTGAGAACACAGCCCCGGGCCGGCCCCCGTCTGTCCCCAGCACGGCTGCCGCTGGGACGGCCCGGACGTGGCATTTCCCAGCAAGGCTCTAAACACACATAGCACCGGTGCGTAGTAAATAATTTTTGTTTTCTTCCAGGCAAAACTGAACAACAATGGTGGGACCAGGAAGGCTGCTGGTTCACAGGAAACGCCGGGGGCGTCGCGGCTCGCAGAGGGCTGAGTGAGGTCACGGGCGACTGCGGCCACGCTCGGTCACGCGCGGCCTCCCATTCAACACAGCCGCTTTTTTGATAAACTGGTCCTTCTGGGGGGAGGGGGCCAGGGTACCGGGAAAGCGGCCTATAAATTGTTTAACAAAAGATCTGAAATGGGAATAGGAACTTCATTCTTTCTCTCAATAGACAAAGCCTTCCTCATCAAGATACGCTTGTATTGTCAGACAAAAACTTCACGATAACACCAAAGCCGTGAGAACCAGCTCTCCGTGGGAACTGCTCAGCAGCCTGGGGTGACCTCGGAAGGGTCTAACCAGCCCCGTGTGGAGCCATCACCAAGTGGCCCCAGTGAGGGGCACAGGTGTGAAAAAGCAGCGGTCCTGCCTCCACACACACACACGAGATCCCAGGCACGGGCCGGAGGCAGGGTCCTGGGGAAGGCGGCCCGCGCCCCTGACCCCCGAGCCAGGAGGGTCTGCGCTGGGCAGCAGGCAACACCTCCTCCAGCTGGAGGGAGGACCACAGAGCTGCAAGGAGCCTCTTAGAGTCCCAGGGGGGGCAGGGAGAAAGAGGAGGATGAAGGAGGAAAACTAGTTCAGGTGCTGCTTCTGGGGCCTCTCCCTTGGGACAGCAAGCCCTGGGGTCTCCAGGTGCAACGGGCTGGGCCCCGGGAGCCCAGAGCTGAACGAGACGTCCCTGATCACAGCG